TTGCAGAGTTAGAACAAGTCAAGTGATAAGGTTTTGGATGCCAACACCGTCAGTAGTTTCAAAGCATCATATGACAAAAAAGAAAATAGAAGATGGGACACTACACAGAAGCCAAAACATCCAAGCTGCCATGGAGCAGTCAGAGAACAGATCAAACAAAATGCTATACAGAAAATGATTGCCAAGTGAGCAAGAGTACTGTGACTGAAGCAAAAGCTCCAGGAAGCAAAGGTAGCAGGACAGAGCTGCCATCTGCGCATGTCACTGAGGAGAACCAGAGTAAACATGCAGCTCCCAAGCTGTAGAAAAGCAGCACCACCAAAGAACACCTGAAAGGCCGAATCCACTTCCCAGCACACTAAGTGTTCAGATACAGGACAACCATGCCAAACTCCAAGGAAAATGGAGGGCTGCCAGCAAGCCAGAATAAATCGGGACCCTAGCAACAGAGCTAGAAGGTGAAGCCGACCTGAACTCAAAGGAGACCCGGTCCAAAAGGGAACCAAGACCCTGACCCCCACAAGAGGAATCGAGAGAGGTCTGTCCAAGCCAGAGAAGGTGCAAAGAGGGATAACAGAAGCCTCCGGCATCAAGATGCAGCCATAGAACCTAATACAGCACACCCAGAGGGAAGCAGCAGTAGAATCCAGCTCAAACATGGACAAAGGAGAAGGAAAACTCCCTGCCCAAAGCAACATACTATCTGCAGACAGAATCAAAGTCCAGAAAGGGTTAATGTGTTGCAACCCCACATTTCTTCCTCGCCTGTGATATGGTAGCAAGTTGAGTCGACACTTCCCCCATGTCACCCAAGGATCCCAAGGACTGCCAGAACCATTTGCTGTCCTTGGAGGGAGGTACAGTACAGTGAGGGGGAGCAATGGGAGCCGTGCTGACCCATGATCACTACACACCGGGTGCCACCCTAGCTCCTCTATGGTCGAGGTAAGCACCCTATCACCCAGCGTTAGGGAATACTTGCGCTCACATGCTACACCCAAGGCAGCTGTCAATTAATTTCAAGACTGATATCACTTTAATGCCGTGACTCACTCTGGCTTCCGTCCCCTCCGCAGGTGTCATCAACACCAGTGTGTATACATACTCCTGGTTTACCTTTGGCCTGTAGCACAGAACTGACACTACCAGGAAAGAATGTTGCCTCAATATCTGCTTTTGTCTTCCAGCCTAGTCCCTCTCTCAAACTTACACAAACCTCTCAGCAGTGTATGAACGTTTTGTCCAGATTAATTCAGTATTTTGTGATAGCAAGGGTTCATCTTGACATTCATATTGTTATAGCATGGTATAGCATAACAGAGGAGTCCAGGAAAGTGAATTAAATAATAATGAATTTACTGGAAAAATGTAAATACAAAATATACTGGGAGCACTAGACTCGTGCTATATTTATAAATATAAATCAGCCACTCTTGGCTCTACTTACTCCAAATACTCCAAAGTTTTACATTATTGTGATGCACCCTCTTGTTGATGAACCTTTATTTACTTTAACTTTAAATTTACATAGAGAAATCAAAGCAAAATAAGCTCAGCTGCCAATAGGCTTCAGCACAAACTTAAATATCTTGTCTTACAATAATTAATTATCTGCACATAGCAATGCTAATAGTCCAAATATTTTCTGATACTACTAATAATAAATTCTACTTCTTCCCTAAGGAACAATTAGCAACAAGGGGAAATGGGGAGGGAAGTTTTACTTAACTAGCAGCTGACTAGCAGCTGACTATTAGCTGGGTCACAGGGTTCCTCCTCGCCTGCACCCAGACTTCATTGCAGCTGTTGTCTTGGATGATGTTCCTCCCCACTGGTTGTCTTTTTAATCTTGAAAGCACCCTTCTGACTTCACTCTTGTAGTAGGCTAGCATGGTCAGGCAGGATTGATTAGGTGCCAATCCTTATCTGTACACCTCTTCACACAGCAGTGAATGGGTACCTGGTTGTTAAATGATTTGGCAGGTCGTATTCCAAGGAAAATAAGAATCAAGGACCTGCCCAAAATGCTATGCATGTTAGCGACTTTACAAGAATGTAAGAACTCTTGTATATATAAATAAATAAAATAACACCGACTCCCCACCTGAGCTGCCATGTAATGACACTCTTCCCTACTGTACCACATTGGCAGGTACTCTCAGTGTGCTCCAGGGGTCTCCCCAACCCTCTCGTAGCATAGGCTATGCGGGACAGGTTGCTCTTGTCGTCAATGCACCCTCACCTGGCTCCACACACTAGTAGGCTACACAACTCTGGTAGCACTATAATAACAGTCACTGTCACTGCTTGATGGCCAACGTTTAATTCTTACACCGTGCTGCTTAACAATAGTCACTCAGCACAACAGGTAGACTTCTGCATTATTCACTGCCCTCTCACGTTGATGAATAGCATTTTTGGACAGTTCTTCACTGACCCTCAGTGGAAGTTGTCACTGGCCACCTCAACCATTGGTGCATAATGTCACTCACCTCACTCATACAGACCCTTGATGCAAAATGTTAACTTTCACTAACTCGCCCAATTCTCCACCGAGCCAGGACTGTCATCAACTTAAGATGGCGACTCCTACACCATCCACTGCTTCCATACACTTGTAGATAATGTCTTCGGTCACTTTGCCAGGATGTGGTGCAACTCTCACCAGGTCCTCCCTTTCAAGTTGTAACTGCACAGCCTCTTCCAACATAATTACCACTCACAAAAGAGTGAGGCTACTCACAAAAGAGTGAGTCACTCCTCACGTACTTCAGAGGTCTATTGCTTCCTTCCTTGAGCTCAACTTCGAAGTACTTCTGCATAATCTGCAAATATCTCCGAGTGCCATCGTGTGCTTCTTCTCCCTCCAGAGTCTAGACCACCAGTGTCGTTCTCAGAGCCAACGAGCCGCTATGCAGCTCGGCTCCCCGCTCATGTGATCTCAGGTTATCTGTCGATTGGTTGTAGCCTTGCACCTGCCACCAATCATGTCTCTCTGTGCATCTAGGACTTTCAGTGTTGCTGCTCTACGAAGGAATCTGTCTCCTGCATTGCGGACATGATCACCATATTTGGGAAGGCTAAGACTATGCTCTTTCCCCATGAATTTCCCAAAAATTCAAATTGGACCAAAATCCTGCATCTCTCACCTTTCCACATAAGCTAAAACATTCTTTAGGTTGTCAAGCACATCTGTAGGGTGGATTAAAAAGCATCTTGGTGTGGGGAAAAGCCTGAATTAGATGGCAATTTTAACAAAGAGCACTCAGGGACTCTCCACAAGCTCACCCCTCAGCCCCATAAAGACCCCTCGTATAGAGCCAAACTTCGCATCTACTACTATAACAAACAATAAGGAATCGCCAACAATAAAAGGATCCAAGCCAAAGACATACCCCCACCATGAGAAGATGGCCCCAGATTCCTGGTGGGAAGCAATGGCTCAAATGTCTCGGGCATCAAAGTAGGAGGGGCAACCGCTTGACAACACCAGGAACACCCACAACAAAACACAGCCTGGGGCACCGTAATCTAAGACACTCCAGAACCTGGCACAAGGGAGGATGGGGGAGGCGTTATAAAAGGTTTGCAGAATGAAGGCAGATGGACACTGGAAGAAGCAGAAGCAAAAAGTGCATTGGGAGAAACACCAGCCGCTCAAACCCCAAAAATGAAAGATGCCGATTCCAAGGCAACCACATGAGCATCACACCTTACGTACAAATGGACAAGTAAATCCAAAGGAATGGCGTCTGTGGACACTAGTCACTACAAAAGCAAATGAACACAAAACAAATAAGACAGGGTTGAACCAAAATAGTTAGCTAGTGAACCCAAATGTCGCATGCCACTGGAAAGAGGATAATACCCATCCAAGAGGCAGCGGAGGTAAACAGTAAAACTGACCATCAGTTTGTAGCAAAACTGACAACTTTCAAACCCACAAGCAGCAAGAGTTGGCCTTGCTTGTAGAGCCATAACAAATATCAAAGACCTGCAAGGCTTGCCTGAGCCTGAAGATAAGGGCCAAGCAGGATAACCAGGCACTGAGGAAGACTGATGCCAAATGCAGCCTATAGGATAAACACAGCCATGGTAGACAGCAGCAGCATGCTGTAGACAAGCACCCAAACCCCAGTGCACCCTACAACAATAAACCACTAATCACAGGGCCTTACAGAGGAGTCAAAAAGACTTCTGCACTACCCAGGGAGAGGCACCCTACACAATAGTGTGGCCTCTCGGGGGGGCAAACCCTGAACTCACCAGAACTGAGGCAATGCCAAAAATATTTAGAGAGGGGCTGCCCTAAACACACGCAGCTCGAGCCAAAGAATAAACCCAGTTCAAACAAGAAGCAAGGCTTGAAAACATTCTAGTGAAGCAATGCTCAAAAGTTAGGAACATTGCACACAAGAAAATGGCCCACCATACGACAGTGTCCAAAGCATGGCCTACACTTAACTTGGAAAGAAGTGGGACTCCCTATGGCCAGCGACTCTGGAGTGTCCGAATTCAAGGACATCAGTGACAGAACTGAGGTTAATATTGCAAGGAAGTCGGGAGCTCCCGGTGATACTACCACCTGTTGGTGGCCAGACATAAATAGAAGAGTTCAGCCTAGTGTGAGTGAATCTCTTGCAGTCATTTGGCTGCTTCACTGTTTTGCTTTCTTTGAACCATGCAGGTGTCTGTATGGTTCAAAGACACACTGCTTACTTTCTGGACATTTTCTCAGGGAGGGTGATCGTGACAATCCCCTGCTCTGTGGGGAAGGTGGGGAGGGAGGCAACCTCTGGCCAGGTAGGCCACACAGAACACCTATGGCTGATGCAACTCAACTTAGTAGGGGACAGCTATCTCAGTCAGCGAGCCTCATGGAGTCACCCTTTGGCCCCTCTAGAAAATAAGAAACAATAGGGGTACCTAACAATACAAGTGACAGCAATAATTTGGTATAAATCATTCAAATTTTGTGCGTAATAAATTGATTCACTTACCAAGTGACATAGCTTTGCCCTCTTCTGTGATGATGATGGAGTGAGCTGCGGAACAATGAGATGTCACAAATGCCACACGAATTCCTTTGAGAGATGAAATGCGTCGCGGTAAATAATGTATCATAGATGGAATACTCTTCAGGTTCCTCCTCCCAATATACTCCCACTGGGTACATCCTGTGTATACAAGAGTTCCTCTATTTTCTGGAAGATTCATTCTCTGCAAGATAACAAGAAATCTTGGAAAATATTGTACACTACAATGCTAAAAAAAAAATGTACATACTGTATTTTGAAAAGATATATATATATCAGGCAAAATGCTTTGATGATACTACAGTAATACTGCTATACTATACAGTCGTACTTTGGTTCAGGGCAAGCATTTATAGGCTGCATGCATGCATGTGTGATTATCTCGGACAATAGTGAAGGTGAATGAAAGACCCATGTGTTCTTATGTACACTTCTATTCACAACCAAGACATTCGGTAGAGTACTGTATTTTGTATCGTTTACTAGAGTGAAGCTGTGCTACTCGGGGTAGTCATAGTCAGACTAATTGCCCAACTCAAGCAAATAAACACAGGCCAACCCAACTAAAATAAACAAGCCCACACAAACAATTCCACATACAAGATTCTCAGGGAAATTGACAGGGTAGATAAGCACAGATTATTTAACACAGGTGGTACACGCACAAGGGGACACAGGTGGAAGCCGAGTACCCAATTAGCCACAGACACATAAAAAGAAATTTTTCAGTGTCAGAGCAGTTAGTAAATGGAATGTACAGGCATACCTCAGAATAAGAGTTTAATCCGTTCCTGGAGACGCCTCGCCTTCCGAAAACTCGCATTCCGAAGTTAATTTCCCCATAAGAAATAAAGGGAAATGAATTAATCCGTTCCTGACTACCCCAAAAACCCCACATCAAACTAAATTTTTATACCTAATTTACCTAATTCATCTAAATAAACCTACAAAACTGTGTTCCAGTTATTACTTACCTTGCTGTCGAGTGCTGTAGGCGTATGGAAGATGGTGAGGAGGGGGGAGGAGGAGAGGAGTTACTGTTTGGAAGGGGAGTCCCCTTCCATAATCACATCACATAACCCCATGCCTTGTAACACTATGGATACCATTCTCTTTCTAAATTTTTCAAACCAGCCCCTGCTTGCCTTAAACTCTTATCTGCATCACTCGTTGCAGGGGTATTCTTTAGAAGGTCTTCGTGCAACACCCTGGCTTTCTCACAAATAATGGCCTCCGAAACACTATCACCCCTCAACTCCTTGTCGTGTATCCAAATTAATAACAACTTTTCCACTTCTTCAAGTATTTGTGGTCTTTGTGCCGTTAATGTTCTTACTCCTTTTGCCACTTTAGCACCCATAATCTTATTTTTCTTCTTAAGTATAGTGCATATTGTTGATGTGGCTTTGTTGTACTGCCTACAAAGTTCAACAACACGTGTACCGTTCTCATGCTTCCGAATGATCTCTTGTTTCTCCTCTATTGTCATCCTCACAGGAGCTTTCTGGCCTTTATCCTTACCACTGGCTTTCTTGGGACCCATGGTGAGATATATAATAACAAATTGTATAGACAAATCACCAAAAATCCAACAAAACACTGAAAATCCGCGAGAAGAATTGATGTGGGGGTAGTCACTGAGCGCCAGACAATAATAAACTGAGGGGCGGCGGGGCGGAGGGGCGACGAACGCGCTAGGTCGGCTGTACGCGTATCAACAAACTCGCGTCCAAACTCGCCTCCCGAAGTAACCCTCGCCTTCTGAGACAAATTTTTGGAGTAAATACACCTCGCCTTCCGAAAACCTCGCATACAGGGACAATCGCATTCCGAGGTACCACTGTACTTGGAAGTGATGTGGTGGAGGCTGACTCCAAACACAGTTTCAAATGTAGATATGATGAAGCTTAATAAGCTCAGGCACTTGTACACCAGTTAATCGACAGTTGAGAGGTGGGACTAAAGAGCCGAAGCTCGGATACAAGTCGCATTGCACCCAAGATGATTCGCCAACAGACTTTGAAATTACCAAACCCAACCCAACCTAACCTAATCCAACAAAGCCCAATACAGCCTAAGGTATTGAACCCTAAGGTTCAATATCACACATCTTGCAGATGTGTGATGATTTGCTCAATACTGTACATCCTAGCATAATCATATACATACACAAGGTTTTAACAAATAGAAAACGATCTTCGTTGAACCATCTCATGTTCAAAACGACCATACCCATGAAGTTCAACCACCGCAACCACAACTAGGCAAGTACAACTAGGAGAGAACTGGTCAATATAAGCAAATAAACATAGGCCAACCAAAGCAAACACATGCCAATGCAATCAACTAGCAAAAAAAACCTGGCCAACACAAGCAAACGAATAAATGCCAACCCAAATGAACACAGACACCCACCCAAACAAGCAAACACAGACCCCACCCAAACAAGCAAACACAGACCCCACCCAAACAAGCAAACACAGACCCCACCCAAACAAGCAAACACAGACCCCACCCAAACAAGCATGATTGATCAAATTAAAGTAGGGCAAAAGTTAACCCACTCGAAGTGCAAAACATCTCCTAGAGGGAACTGATAGGAGAACATGGCATTGGAAGCATCATGGCAAATCCTTAAGATCATCATCACGGAACTCGTTAAAAAATACTGTATGCCAAAAAGGCGAAGAAAAGAAAGGGAACTAGATGGATGACACAGGTAGTAAAACAAGCATTGATAATCAACTGGAACCTCTGGAGAACGTATAAATCCACAACAGACATTATTAACTATGAGATATATAAAGGGCACTAAACTCAGCCACCAAGGAAATCAGATCAGCAACAAAAAGCTACAAACGGAAACTTTCCCAAAACAAAGAAAGGTCCAAAGTAATTCTATGCCTATATAAGAGGTCAAACAAAACTAAGGACCTGGTTGGACCCTTTAAAAGACGAGATTAACCAAGTTATAATGGACAATAAAAGGGCAGCAAACACACTGAATGAGGGCGATGAGTCACAATAATGTGGCTGAAGTATGTAATCGACTTGAGAATGGTCCAGGACGGACCGAAACGTCGTCGTCCCTTCAATTTCTAGTGTGTGGTCTGGTCAACACTGAATGAATATTTTACATCAGTGTTCACACTAGAAAGGTTAGACGAACGACATCCCATAACGCACACAGATGTTTGAAGGTGAAGAGAATGAATTTAGGGATACTGTATACCTATAACATGCAACATAATCAGGAAGAGCATTAACAAACTAAATGACTCAAAAGCCCCAGGTGTGGTTAGAATTCAATACAAAGACATAAAAGAACTGGCATAACAACTATGCTTACGGGTGAAATTACTTTGCACAAAATTTCTAGACCAAGGGATAGTCCCCCTAGATTGGAAATATGCAAATGTCACCCCTATTTTCAAAAAAGGCAGAAAGAGCTCGGCTGAAAAGCAGAAAACTACCGCTCAATCAGCTTGACATCACACATCTCCAAGCTCGTGTAGAGAATCCTAAGGGAGGGAATTATTCACCATTTTTCAGTGAACAATCTTATAAAATCGACAACATGGTTTTGTTAAGTTTAGATCCTGCCTTACAAACCTGCTCACATTTCTGGAAACAGTAACCACCTACACAGACTAAGGACTTTTGGTGGATGTAGTATAAGCTAACTAGATTTTGCTAAAGTCTTTAATAAGGTACCACATGAAAGACTGTTGGGTTATTTGTGGACCTGCGTAAAGCTTTTGATACTGTCAACCACCATAACCTTCTTCTTAAATTACATCATTATGGAGTCAGAGGACACTCCCTACAATACCTCGAGTCCTACCTTACTGACAGGCTCCAATATGTTTCTGTGAATAATACAATTTCTCCCACCCTACCCATCAACATTGGTGTTCCTCAGGGCAGCATACTTGGCCCTCTCCTCTTTCTCATCTACATTAATGACCTTCCAAATGCCTCCCAACACCTCAAACCAATTCTATTTGCTGACGACACAACCTTCATTTACTCCAGTCCTGACCCTCTTGCTCTAAATGCCACAGTAAATACTGAGCTAAATAAAGTCCATCTTTGGCTAACTGCCAACAAACTCACCCTTAACATTGACAAAACCTTCTATATTCTGTTTGGCAATAAATCCTCTAGTCTTATAAATCTCAAAATAAACAATACCCAAATTTGTAACAAATTAGATGGCAAATTCCTTGGCATTCTCATTGACCACAAGCTGAATTTCCAGGGACACATTCTAAATATATCAAAAAAAGTTTCAAAAACTGTGGGCATTCTTTCTAAGATCAGATATTATGTACCACGCCCTGCCCTGGTGACTCTCTATTACTCCCTTATCTATCCTTATCTCAACTATGGTATTTGTGCTTGGGGTTCTACTACCCAAAATCACTTACGTCCTCTAATTACCCAACACAAAGCCGCTATTAGAACAATATCCAACTCTGGCCCCAGACATCACTCGATACCCCTACTCAAATCTCTTAATATGTTAGATATTAAGTCACTGCACATTCTCTCATGTGTATTATACATATATAAAACGCTAAACTATAATGCCAATCCTGATCTTAAAAGCTTCATAGAAGGTTGTAACAGAACCCATGAGCACCACACCAGAAATAAATACAGTTTTGATATTCCTAGAGTACGTCTTAATCAAACTAGAAATGCTCTGCAAATCAAGGGGCCCAGAATGTGGAATGACCTTCCCAACCATGTTAAAGACTGTACCTCTCTCAACCAGTTTAAGATAAAAACTAAACACTACCTAATAAATTCCCTGTAATCTACCTCACTCCTCTATTGTCAACCCATATCTGTTATTTTCTTTTTTTAATCAACACTGTTTGTCAACCTATTGTATTTGTGCTGCTTTTTCAGTCATGTTCCCCTTTTTTTTTTTTTTTATCTTTATTTGTATTTGTTCTCAACACCTTTTATTCTTTATGCTCAATTAGTATTAAGTTCTAGATATTAATGTTTTTCTTGCCCGAAACGCATTGCGTAATAGTGGCTTTAGGCATTGTATGTACTAGCTCTATCTATATATCAATCCATTAATGTAACATCACTTGTATGTATATACCTTACCTGAATAAACATCTGAATCTGAATCTGAATCTGACTGGCAAGGAAATCACAGGGACATGGAATAAATGGAAAAATTCTAGAATGGATAAAGCAATGGTTAAAACAAAGAAAACACAAAGTCGTGCTAAATGGGGATGAACCTGATTGGAGAAATGTGGCAAGTGGGGTACCACAGGGGTGTAACAAACTAGGCTGTTGTAAGAATTATCCAGAGTGGTTTATCGACAAAAGAGAATGGGAAGCTGAGCCGCATGGTGACCTGACCCCCAGGGGAATTCGCGGTGGAAATAACCGACGCTTTGTTCATAACTGCGTATAATGAATCATCCTATAGTATTCAGTAATTTAGAGAAAATTAGCCTTTATTCATTTTGCATTAAAATTGTATTGTATAATAGTACTGGATACAATATCAAGAGTATTCTAATTATTGAGTTTAAGTCACCATCAGTGACGTCACGAATCGGATCTAACTTTTAAGGCGGAGTGACCGGCGGTCATAGGTCAGCAGGGTTGACATGTCTAATATTTCTCAAAGTTTTATTAACCATTTTGGGGATCGGGAACAGCTCTGCCGTTAGATGTTTGTAATTTAATTCAGTAAAATAATTCAACCAGTCTGGATCAATTAAGTACAACAGAGTTTAATTGACAACAAAAAGGTAAGTTGAGGTTTCTAGTTGAATATTTAATAATTATATGTGGCATGTCTATTCAAATTATGTTTTTGTAGTATAAAAATAGTTGGAAATGGTTAGTTTTGGACTCGTAGGTGAAAAAGTACCATTATCCGAAAAACGTGCTAATCCGGCTGGGGTCTTTCCCATATAGTCCGGATGATCGAGTGGAGACAGTATATCAATGGCATACATGAGAATATTACAAACCACCATCAAATTTGCAGACGACACAAAGATTTATGGTAAAGTGGGAAATAATAATGATACCGAAGCCCTATAAATAGATCTACATGAACTCCACAAATCGTCAGAAGACTGGTAAATGCCTTTCAATATTGACAAATGCAAGAGCCTGCATGTGGGGCATAATCCACACCACAACTACCAAATTAACATTATATTACATTACACCAGATTGATGAAGAAAAGGACATTAGAGTCAAAATCCACCAGTCACTTAAGGTTGCATCACAGGTAGAGGCAACAGTCAAAAAAGCTAACCAAACCCTCGAAATAATCAAGTGTACCTTTGACTTAAGGAAAAGAAGGTAGTGCTCCAATTGTATAAATATCTGGTACACCATTTGGAATACTGTATCCAATCATGAAGACCACATCTTCAAAAGGACACAGCTGCTCTGAAGATAGTGCAACACCGGACCACAAAAATTATTCCATATCCAAGTCAACTCGCAAACGAGGAACGGTCGAGGGCCACAGGGCTAACAACACAGTAAACCAGGTATGACAAGTCTGATCTTATCGAAACTTTTAAAATATTAAACAATTTGGAGGATGTTGAGCCGGACAATTTCTTCAAAACGTCAGATAAAACAAACAAGGAGCAATGGTTTCAAGCTCAACAAGCCACAATACAGGACTGAAAACAGATGCTTTTTCACCCACAGGATTATAAACCCATGGAACAGCCTACCCGCCAAAGCCATAAATGCCAAACCTCTTAAATTTTAAAGTTCACTGGAAAAGATCAAGATAAATAGTGGGTGGGGGGGGGGACCTTTAACAAGCCAACAGCTTCCACAAACAAAAAACACAGGCCAGCCCAAACAAACAGCCACACAAAAGAAAGCAAACAAACAGCCATACCAAAGCAAACAAACAGCAACACCAAAGCAAACAAACACCAAAGCAAACAAACACCAATACCAAAACAAACACCAATACCAAAACAAACAAACACCAATACCAAAACAAACAAACACCAATACCAAAACAAACAAACACCAATACCAAAACAAACAAACACCAAAGCAAACAAACACCAATACCAAAACAAACAAACACCAATACCAAAACAAACAAACACCAATACCAAAACAAACAAACACCAATACCAAACAAACAACACAATACCAAAACAAACAAATACACAACACCATACCAAAACAAACACCAATACCAAAACAAACACCAATAACAAAACAAACACCAATACCAAAACAAACACCAATACCAAAACAAACACCAATAACAAAACAAACACCAATACCAAAACAAACACCAATACCAAAACAAACACCAATACCAAAACAAACACCAATACCAAAACAAACAAACACCAATACCAAAACAAACACCAAAGCAAACAAACAGCAAAGCAAACACCAATACCAAAGCAAACAAACACCAAAGAAAACAAACACCAATACCAAACAAACAAACAGCAATACCAAATTAAAGACACACATTAATCTAATGATATACACAGTTTTGACATTAAAAAATGAGCTGTCAAAATACCTGTACACAATGTAGAAGCTGGGTGAAGGGGGGGTGCAGCAGAGGCTGGGTGAAGGGGGGTGCAGCAGAGGCTGGGTGAAGGGGGGGGGCAGCAGAAGCTGGGTGAAGGAAGGGGGGGTGCAGCAGAAGCTGGGTGAAGGGGGGGTGCAGCAGAGGCTGGGTGAAGGGGGGGGTGCAGCAGAAGCTGGGTGAAGGGGGGGGTGCAGCAGAAGCTGGGTGAAGGGGGGGTGCAGCAGAAGCTGGGTGAAGGGGGGGTGCAGCAGAAGCTGGGTGAAGGGGGGGTGCAGCAGAAGCTGGGTGAAGGGGGGGTGCAGCAGAAGCTGGGTGAAGGGGGGGTGCAGCAGAAGCTGGGTGAAGGGGGGTGCAGCAGAAGCTGGGTGAAGGGGGGGTGCAGCAGAAGCTGGGTGAAGGGGGGTGCAGCAGAAGCTGGGTGGGAGGGTGCAGCAGAAGCTGGGTGAAGGGGGGGGTGCAGCAGAAGCTGGGTGAAGGGGGGGGTGCAGCAGAAGCTGGGTGAAGGGGGGGTGCAGCAGAAGCTGGGGAAGGGGGGGTGCAGCAGAAGCTGGGTGAAGGGGGGGTGCAGCAGAAGCTGGGTGAAGGGGGGAGGTACAGCAGAAGCTGGGTGAAGGGGGAGGTACAGCAGAAGCTGGGTGAAGGGGGGTGCAGCAGAGGCTGGGTGAAGGGGGGAGGTGCAGCAGAAGCTGGGTGAAGGGGGGGGCAGAAGCTGGGTGAAGGGGGGGGTGCAGCAGAAGCTGGGTGAAGGGGGGGTGCAGCAGAAGCTGGGTGAAGGAGGGGGTGCAGCAGAAGCTGGGTGAAGGGGGGGGTGCAGCAGAAGCTGGGTGAAGGGGGGGGTGCAGCAGAAGCTGGGTGAAGGAGGGGGTGCAGCAGAAGCTGGGTGAAGGAGGGGGTGCAGCAGAAGCTGGGTGAAGGGGGGGTGCAGCAGAAGCTGGGTGAAGGGGGGGGTTGCAGCAGAAGCTGGGTGAAGGGGGAGGTTGCAGCAGAAGCTGGGTGAAGGAGGGGGGGGGGGTGAAGCAGCAGAAGCTGGGTGAAGGAAGGGGGGGGTTGCAGCAGAAGCTGGGTGAAGGAAGGGGGGGGTGCAGCAGAAGCTGGGTGAAGGGGGGGGGGTGCAGCAGAAGCTGGGTGAAGGGGGGGAGGTGCAGCAGAAGCTGGGTGAAGGGGGGGGGGGGGTGCAGCAGAAGCTGGGTGAAGGGGGGGGTGCAGCAGAAGCTGGGTGAAGGGGGGGGTGCAGCAGAAGCTGGGTGAAGGGGGGTGGTTGCAGCAGAAGCTGGGTGAAGGGGGGGGGGGTGTAGCAGAAGCTGGGTGAAGGGGGGTGCAGCAGAAGCTGGGTGAAGGGGGGGTGCAGCAGAAGTTGGGTGAGCTGGGGGGGGTGCAGCAGAAGCTGGAAAGGGGGGGGGTGTAGCAGAAGCTGGGTGAAGGAAGGGGGGGGTGCAGCAGAAGCTGGGTGAAAGGGAGGGGTGCAGCAGAAGCTGGGTGAAGGGGGGGTGCAGCAGAAGCTGGGTGAACAGGGCAGCAGCAGAAGTTCGGTGAAAGGGGGCAGCAGGAGCTGCGTGAGGAGGTAGCAGAAGGTGGGTGAGGAGCACGAGGAGGTGGGTGAGGGGGCAGCAGCAGGAGGTGGGTGAGGGGCAGCAGCAGGAGGTGGGTGAGGAGCAGGAGGAGGTGGGTGAGGGGGCAGCAGCAGGAGGTGGGTGAGGAGCAGGAGGAGGTGGGTGAGGGGGCAGCAGGAGGTGGGTGAGGGGGCAGCAGGAGGTGGGTGAGGAGCAGCAGAAGGGGTGTGAGGAGGCAGCAGGTGGTGGGTGAGGAGCAGAAGGGGTGTGAGGAGGCAGCAGGTGGGGGGGGGGGGTGAGGAGCAGCAGGAGGTGGGTGAGGGGGCAGCAGAAGCAGGGCGAGGACGACAGCGACCAGCCGGGGGGAAAGCAGGAAGTGGCATCAACTCACCTTTTTCTCGGGATCGGAAGATGCGGCCGAGTCCGAGGCGACACTGTCTTGGCTCGTCTCATCTTGCAACGCCTCCGTTACTGAAGGCGTCGTGTCCTCCTTCAGCTTCTTCGCCTCCTGCTCCTCCTCTTCGTCTTCAGCTGGTCTCTTCTCTGGCGTCATTCTCGGCGCGTTGACAAACACTTGGGACTCACGGCTGGAGAAACCACTGACAGCGTTCCCGGCATCAAACAGGCGACTAACATGCCACTGTCCGAATTATTGTAAAGTTGACTTCCAACCATTAATTGGATGGTACATATGCATATGTGATAACATTGGCTGTGCGAGAGCGTTATTATTCTCATTTATATATACGGTGATGATAACATTCAATGTTGCCGTGAATTTTGATATTCTTCTCTTGATACAATTATACATTAAAATATTTATTTTGTAATTTCTAATAATCAGATCATTTACAATGTATTCCAACTATCTTTAAAAACCAAGGTTATAGAGCATATTTTTAAGTTTTTTAATTAAAAAACTATTTTTGCAATAAGTAAAAAAACGAGCGTCTTGTCAATTCATATAAAGTCGTGTGAACAGTTTCAAATAAGCCTCCGACGCTTCCCTTTTCTTTTGTTTACGTTGTGAGGAGCGGGCGCCATCTGTCTCCCGCCCCGCGAACTGCAACCAAATGATTGCTTTAATGGCAACACTCCGGGACCTTATTCTTAAACCTCCTTCCCTCTCCCTCCCTGCCACCACAACCCGGCCAACCATCTACCCCACATCTTTGTAATCGACGCCTTCTCCACTCTCATTTGGCATCTATAGATGGGGGGGCATTTGGGGTGGCTAGTTAGTGGAAATATGTAAATATTTCCGGGTAATGGGCAACTGGTGAGTGGCAAGTTTCCCAGAATAATGATCACTACCGCGGCCGACCCCGGCCCCTTCATCTCCCCGGCTACTCAACTCTGCTCCCGATTTTCTTGTTAACACCAAATATAACTCAAACGCGTTTATGCACACGATAACAGCTATACCAATTGCATTTTAGGGCACTACTATATTTATTATTATTATATATATATATATATATATATATATATATATATATATATATATATATATATATATATATATATATATATATGTCGTACCTAGTAGCCAGAACTCACTTCTCAGCCTACTATGCAAGGCCCGATTTGCCTAATAAGCCAAGTTTTCCTGAATTAATATATTTTCTCTATTTTTTTTCTTATGAAATGATAAAGCTACCCATTTCATTATGTATGAGGTCAATTGTTTTTTATTGGAGATAAAATTAAAATAGATATATGACCGAACCTAACCAACCCTACCTAACCTAACCTAACCTATCTTTATAGGTTAGGTTAGGTTAGGTAGCCGAAAAAGTTAGGTTAGGTAAGGTTAGGTAGGTTAGGTAGTCGAAAAACAATTAATTCACGAAAACTTGGCTTATTAGGCAAATCGGGCCTTGCATAGTAGGCTGAAAAGTGAGTTCTGGCTACTAGGTACGACATATATATATATATATATATATATATATATATATCGTACCTAGTAGCCAGAACGCACTTCTCAGCCTACTATGCAAGGCCCGATTTGCATAATAAGCCAAGTTTTCATGAATTAATTGTTTTTCGACTACCTAACCTACCTAACCTAACCTAACCTAACTTTTTCGGCTACCTAACCTAACCTAACCTAACTTTTTCGGCTACCTAACCGAACCTAACCTATAAAGATAGGTTAGGTAGGGTTGGTTAGGTTCATTCATATAACTACGTTAATTTTAACTCCAATAAAAAAATTGACCTCATATATAATGAAATGGGTAGTTTTATCATTTCATAAGAAAAAAATTTGAGAAAATATATTAATTCATGAAAACTGGGCTTATTAGGCAAATCGGGCCTTGCATAGTAGGCTGAGAAGTGCGTTCTGGCTACTAGGTACGACATATATATATATATATATATATATATATATATATATATATATATATATATATATATATATATATATATATATATATATATTTATATATATATAACTTTTTAGACACTCAACCCACCAGGGGACTCGAACACTGGCCAACAAGGTGGCAGTTGCATGCTGTATCCACTACGCTATACTTCAAAGCCATAAGAGAGGTAGGAATTCTGGGGTATTTAACCAACCAGAACTCAAATCCTCTCCCAGGCGATGAGATAGTGTGGGACCTCGGATGCTCTTTCATCGGTTCCTGTTATATGGGAAAACTCAGTGCCAAATGCTTAATGCACAGACTACCCTATTCCAGTAGCTGAAGTTTATAACTTTTTAGACACTCAACCCACCAGGGGACTCGAACACTGGCCAACAAGGTGGCAGTTGCATGCTGTATCCACTACGCTATACTTCAAAGCCATAAGAGAGGTAGGAATTCTGGGGTATTTAACCAACCAGAACTCAAATCCTCTCCCAGGCGATGAGATAGTGTGGGACCTCGGATGCTCTTTCATCGGTTCCTGTTATATGGGAAAACTCAGTGCCAAATGCTTAATGCACAGACTACCCTATTCCAGTAGCTGAAGTTTATAACTTTTTAGACACTCAACCCACCAGGGGACTCGAACACTGGCCAACAAGGTGGCAGTTGCATGCTGTATCCACTACGCTATACTTCAAAGCCATAAGAGAGGTAGGAATTCTGGGGTATTTAACCAACCAGAACTCAAATCCTCTCCCAGGCGATGAGATAGTGTGGGACCTCGGATGCTCTTTCATCGGTTCCTGTTATATGGGAAAACTCAGTGCCAAATGCTTAATGCACAGACTACCCTATTCCAGTAGCTGAAGTTTATAACTTTTTAGACACTCAACCCACCAGGGGACTCGAACACTGGCCAACAAGGTGGCAGTTGCATGCTGTATCCACTACGCTATACTTCAAAGCCATAAGAGAGGTAGGAATTCTGGGGTATTTAACCAACCAGAACTCAAATCCTCTCCCAGGCGATGAGATAGTGTGGGACCTCGGATGCTCTTTCATCGGTTCCTGTTATATGGGAAAACTCAGTGCCAAATGCTTAATGCACAGACTACCCTATTCCAGTAGCTGAAGTTTATAACTTTTTAGACACTCAACCCACCAGGGGACTCGAACACTGGCCAACAAGGTGGCAGTTGCATGCTGTATCCACTAGTTATATAGTTATAAACTTCAGCTACTGGAATAGGGTAGTCTGTGCATTAAGCATTTGGCACTGAGTTTTCCCATATAACAGGAACCGATGAAAGAGCATCCGAGGTCCCACACTATCTCATCGCCTGGGAGAGGATTTGAGTTCTGGTTGGTTAAATACCCCAGAATTCCTACCTCTCTTATGGCTTTGAAGTATAGCGTAGTGGATACAGCATGCAACTGCCACCTTGTTGGCCAGTGTTCGAGTCCCCTGGTGGGTTGAGTGTCTAAAAAGTTATAAACTTCAGCTACTGGAATAGGGTAGTCTGTGCATTAAGCATTTGGCACTGAGTTTTCCCATATAACAGGAACCGATGAAAGAGCATCCGAGGTCCCACACTATCTCATCGCCTGGGAGAGGATTTGAGTTCTGGTTGGTTAAATACCCCAGAATTCCTACCTCTCTTATGGCTTTGAAGTATAGCGTAGTGGATACAGCATGCAACTGCCACCTTGTTGGCCAGTGTTCGAGTCCCCTGGTGGGTTGAGTGTCTAAAAAGTTATAAACTTCAGCTACTGGAATAGGGTAGTCTGTGCATTAAGCATTTGGCACTGAGTTTTCCCATATAACAGGAACCGATGAAAGAGCATCCGAGGTCCCACACTATCTCATCGCCTGGGAGAGGATTTGAGTTCTGGTTGGTTAAATACCCCAGAATTCCTACCTCTCTTATGGCTTTGAAGTATAGCGTAGTGGATACAGCATGCAACTGCCACCTTGTTGGCCAGTGTTCGAGTCCCCTGGTGGGTTGAGTGTCTAAAAAGTTATAAACTTCAGCTACTGGAATAGGGTAGTCTGTGCATTAAGCATTTGGCACTGAGTTTTCCCATATAACAGGAACCGATGAAAGAGCATCCGAGGTCCCACACTATCTCATCGCCTGGGAGAGGATTTGAGTTCTGGTTGGTTAAATACCCCAGAATTCCTACCTCTCTTATGGCTTTGAAGTATAGCGTAGTGGATACAGCATGCAACTGCCACCTTGTTGGCCAGTGTTCGAGTCCCCTGGTGGGTTGAGTGTCTAAAAAGTTATAAACTTCAGCTACTGGAATAGGGTAGTCTGTGCATTAAGCATTTGGCACTGAGTTTTCCCATATAACAGGAACCGATGAAAGAGCATCCGAGGTCCCACACTATCTCATCGCCTGGGAGAGGATTTGAGTTCTGGTTGGTTAAATACCCCAGAATTCCTACCTCTCTTATGGCTTTGAAGTATAGCGTAGTGGATACAGCATGCAACTGCCACCTTGTTGGCCAGTGTTCGAGTCCCCTGGTGGGTTGAGTGTCTAAAAAGTTATAAACTTCAGCTACTGGAATAGGGTAGTCTGTGCATTAAGCATTTGGCACTGAGTTTTCCCATATAACAGGAACCGATGAAAGAGCATCCGAGGTCCCACACTATCTCATCGCCTGGGAGAGGATTTGAGTTCTGGTTGGTTAAATACCCCAGAATTCCTACCTCTCTTATGGCTTTGAAGTATAGCGTAGTGGATACAGCATGCAACTGCCACCTTGTTGGCCAGTGTTCGAGTCCCCTGGTGGGTTGAGTGTCTAAAAAGTTATAAACTTCAGCTACTGGAATAGGGTAGTCTGTGCATTAAGCATTTGGCACTGAGTTTTCCCATATAACAGGAACCGATGAAAGAGCATCCGAGGTCCCACACTATCTCATCGCCTGGGAGAGGATTTGAGTTCTGGTTGGTTAAATACCCCAGAATTCCTACCTCTCTTATGGCTTTGAAGTATAGCGTAGTGGATACAGCATGCAACTGCCACCTTGTTGGCCAGTGTTCGAGTCCCCTGGTGGGTTGAGTGTCTAAAAAGTTATAAACTTCAGCTACTGGAATAGGGTAGTCTGTGCATTAAGCATTTGGCACTGAGTTTTCCCATATAACAGGAACCGATGAAAGAGCATCCGAGGTCCCACACTATCTCATCGCCTGGGAGAGGATTTGAGTTCTGGTTGGTTAAATACCCCAGAATTCCTACCTCTCTTATGGCTTTGAA